TATTTTAATAAGATCGATTATTTTAAGACTAGAACTACCTATGTTGAAAATCACAAAATAATTGACAGTTTGACAGTGAACTCTTTGTTAATTTAAAATTGTCTTTTTCGAAAATTTTAACATAGAAAATTCTAATCTTTTTTTTTTGTTCTTTTATTTCATTTGCGATATGCTAATAAATTGATGAATTTAGTATCAAATTAGAATCATTAATTTAAATAATTAGCTACCTATATTTTTAATTGTATAATCTATAGTGGAATACTTGTCTAAATATTAAATACTGAACGGCCATTAAAAAAAAAAAAAAATAATGTGAATATGGGGTTTATTAATTTGGATTAAATACATAATTTGATAAAAATGAAAGATGACAAAAATATAATATTTATTTCTTTTTTTATAAACTGGTAAATACCCTATGAAAAAATAGTACTAATACATGACAAAATATTTTATAATTACTTAACAACAAACTAGCATATCAGCTAATGGCCCTAGTTGCCGGGCTTAAGTTCAATAAAAAAAAAAAAAAAAAACTAGCATATTACAGTATATAATAATACATATAAATTTACTAGATATACCTATTATTTTAAAACGTGAAAAAATAATATATAATTATTAACTACTAATATCAAGACTTAAGGCTATATAATATATAGATTAAATTGTGTCTGAAAATTTATTTCGATATATTAATAAAAATCAAAGCGATTAACAATTTTGTTTGCTAAAGAATGAATTTTGAGGAAAAAATGTAACGGAGCTATGTTTATTATTATAAAATGGAACGTAAACAATTTTTTAACCTCGTACAGTGATTATTAAAATTAAATCCAATCATTGCAAGAAGTTTGGAGAAATCTATATTAACATTTCATAAATTGTACAAGAACATTAGATTAACAACTTTTCTTTTAAAGTCATTCCTAAATTGCTAATTTGTAAATTTTATGATTCTCTAATAATAGACAAACTAATTTCAGGAATTTAATCTAAATATTTTAAATTTGATTTATATAAACAGCTATATAAATTTATAAAACCAAATCCTTAGTGAGCTTTGACAAGTGTTAAATACAATAGTTTCAAGGTATTAATATTTTAGAAATTTTTAATATTTCTATAGATAAAACCTAACATTTTGAAAGATATGCTTTTAAACAAATGTATGTACCTATAATGAAAAAGACATATTGCATTAAAATAAAATTTCTAGGTTTCGAATAAAATTGACTTTCAATAGCAGTGTATAATTAATTGAATAATTATATAAAATATGATTTTGTAAGTAAATAAAACTATTATGTTGCTTTTAAATGACAAGTTTATCTAAGTTAGGTTGTAATTGTGATAGATTTGGAGGAGATTAAACTATTGAAAATATTTTAGTATCATTGATAAATTATAGTACGTTTACTAAGGATTAAAGATATTAGGTAATTGATTTATAAATAAAATAAACAAGAATTAATCTAAATGAGAGTCCTGTGATATCCCTAAAGTCTAAACATACACTTAAATAATTTGAAAAAACATAAGATATTTTTACAATTTGGGAAATATTTCTTTTTTAATACTGAGTTTCATAAATAATTGATTAATTTAATATTTTAATAAAATTTAATGAATTAAGACATAACCATAATAGCTCACGTTTGATTCATTAAATGTTTAGTTGGTAATTTTGTATGAGATTTAGCAGTATTTTTAATCATAAACTTTAATATAAGTTCGACGTTCATTCTTACACGCGTGTACAAAGTTCAAAGGTTTTACCAATGACAATAAAAATGACAATTCTAAAACTATGTTTGCAGATTATGAAATACAATAATGAAAAGTTTGCTTTAATCCTGAACTATTAAGTTATAACAAAATGGGGAAATTTAAACGCTGTTCAACACCATAGAATATATATTAATATAAATGTTATTTATTTCAAAATGTCATTATTTACTTTCTTACATGCCATGAACAAAAGCTACTCATTTTGATTTTTGTTTTAATGTACAAATATTTAGTTATAAAAATGTTCATTGTGAAGTCATAAGCTGTAGTTAAAATTACATTTTCGTAGTTTCGTACGTCATATTATAATAGCTGGACGTGTTTTATTCTATCATAAATGAAAATACACATTTTCCACAGCAAAAATGATAAAAAAATAGAATATAATGAAAAATTCATTTTATAAGACTAATTTACTGAAAATTTAAAGATATACCTAGCTATTTTTATTTGATACTAATATATGATGTATAAAATTATAACTTTTTCAACTTAAATTATGAAAGTATTATTAATTTGATATGATGATATACTCGTAGATAGTAGTAAATAGAAATATTTGTTGATTTTTAATATTCTTTTATTTTTTTTACTAAACTTTTTAGTATACAATACAGCATTTACATTTATTTTGAAACGACGGTTCATTATCATATTCAACTAAATATATATATATATATATATATATATATATATATATATAATATAGAAACATAATATATTAATATTTAAAAAAAAAATTATTTGTAAGTCGTTATTGTTACTTATTTACACATAAAGTCTATTTTTATAGTTTAGTAGGTATGTACTTATTGTAAGGATAAAGTGAATGGAACATGTCAATACATCATATTCATCATAATATATGTTATATACTTGGTTAGACGTGCGACTCAATAAATATTCGTGTGCAATACATGTACATAAGCGGGGGCAATTTTTTTCGATTTGTATTAAGTATAACACAACTGTATTTTATATGTATGTATATAGTCATATAGTTAATATTACGTAGGTATGTGTTTCGAATTCAGACTTCAGATATATTTACCGGGAAATTAAATCTATTAAAAACGCGGGCGGAAGATTCGTTTGGATTTTTTAATGGTATATGTGGGTACGCGGTGACGACAGGGAATAATGCCGAAGTCCCAGACTGTGATTGGCTATCTAAATCAGTCAGGCGGAGCGATGGTGTAGATATTCAGCAAAAAAGTGAAAATCTTATTTGGCGGTGGTCTATTTTCACTCTCTCTTATCCCAATACACAAATACATACACATGCACCACATATCGCACTGAGTGTATGTTAAATACGAGTGAATAGACATAGTAGATAGAAAAATCCAAACATTAAAAAACTAAATGTTTTATTCTAATAATTTTCAAAGAATTATATAATGTTGATGTCTGATTATCATATTCTGGTGATTATTGAGGAAATATTAAACGTAGAAACAATTTTTAAGATCAACAGTTATTATTCCAATAATTACTCATATTCGTTTAGAGGATATTTTTAAGGGATTTAAGGTGACTCAGGTGGGCAATTTAATGAATTTTTCATAAAAATAAAAATACATATTAAATTAAATTATTAATTTAAAGTGAATTATAGGCGATTCCTCTTTATAGCTGTTACGTAGTAACGAAATCATGTCGAACATTCAATATAACTTATAAAATATTTTGTCGACGCGCAGATTGGTCATTATAGGTACTTTATCTCTAGAGCTACTTTTAGTGTTAACATAATTGATATACAAAAAAAAAAAAATAAAAAAAATTCAAATTTTTAGCTCATTTTATAATATAATATAATATGCTCATAATATTTCGTTCAAAAAAAAAAAAAAAAATAAAAAAAATATCATAAAAAGCTCATAAAATGTTGGTGAAAAAACGTCGATATCTATAATGATAATTATATGATATAAAAAACTATATTATAGTTTTCATACTAAGTGTACAATTTCTGTACAATTTTTCTGGAATAATTTATAGCCGATTTACGTCAATGCGTTAATTCTCCTCGAAACAGCCCCCCGATTGTCCCAGTCAAAAGTCTTTTTCTTTAGCGAGCTCAAAAATTTTGTCGCATCACGCCAAAAATATACACGTACGTTACAATAACTGTGTACGATAGTTACGCGTCAAGCGAATTCCCGTGTCATCGTTTGCCACCTACACGCGCACACACACACACACACACACGCATACACGCATACACGCATACACGCACAAACACACGCACGCATTCACACAAATGTAATATGCGCAGGATTCGCGCGGTGACGATGGCGGCGCAGCATCTAACCAGCGCGCGGCGTCGGTCCAAGCGGACTCCTCGGCAAGGACAACCGACTACCGCGCGAGGTTATTTATACCGCACGCACGAGCCGCCTTTGCGTATACGCGATCCGTCTCGCGTGACCGACGTATCTCTCCAGCGGCACTTGTCTGTCGAGCTCGTCCGCTGCTGCCGTTGCACACTCTCGTCTTCAATCTCGTCGCAGATCGCACGTCCATCACACACGCCGCACTTCAACTAATATTATTATTATTATTATTATTATTGTCATTATTAAGTAAGATTTCTCGGCATTTCGCGCAGCAATCGTTTTATGGTCTCGCGTCGCTTGCCCGTCTCACTTGTCGATTTTTCGGGGGCATGCCGTCCGGACGCCGGAACCGCAGACGTCGCTCGGCCGTAGAACATCTGAGGTTGCTGGTGGTGCGCATCACGAACCTGTACAATCGCCTGACGCGAGCGTATCATCGGCGGACGCGAGCAGGCCCCGTACATCCGGAACGGGACATTATACAGCGGCTACAGTTCTCGTCTTGGCTATCGCCGGTGAGTCGGGAGAGACACCTGTGGAATCGCCGATCAACAGAATAGGAACGACGGGTCGGCCGACACCGGCTGACCTACGCCGCCGCCGATAAGCAAAAGCATCATCGCGGTCATCGGGCGCGCGAAAACACCGCCGAAAGGCACTGGACGACGACTAAGAGAGATATAGCAAACGACGAAGACGACGACGACGACGACGACGACGACAACGACGACGACAAAGGTGAAAGAGGAACAGACGAATCAAATAAAACTGGCGACATAAACGAAAAGGACAACAACGACGACGACGACGACGACGAAGACTTGGGGCCTCCCTTGTATGAGACACAAGTCTAACACTGTAACTATGATTAAGCAACTGAAGTGTTTGATATATCCCGAACGCGAACTGTTGTTGATCTACGCAAAAATTCCAAAAACTCAATTCAACTTACTCGTATCAATTATTCATGCCGATCGTGTTGTATACTCACTCGTAAGTATACCTATATTTTTATAATAATAATAATAAATAATGACAACGATAATGATGATATTATTATGACTTCGTGACGATCATTATGCATGTTATACAGGTCGGGTTCCCGACTCAAATCGCCACGAATAATATATTCTTGTCATCGAAAATATTATTTAATACAGTAAGCTGAATCCCATACCCATGTTTTAGCAGATATAAAAAAAATTAAAATGTGTAATCATATACCCAAGCTTGCCCTTCAATAATAAAAAAAAAAACTTTCAAGTATAATATTTTATGCTATAATACATGGTTGTGAAAAACGCGTAATCAAAATGTTTTGAAAATACTTCGAAATTTGTTTTGATAAAACTAATGAAGGTACTAAAAATCAATTGTTTTCATCAAGTATAAAAACGAATTAATTTTATTTTTGATTTTACGGCCAATTATATAATATAATAATCATATTATTATATTATTTTACCAATTTATTTCTAAGATTTCATCAAAAATATAGTTCTATTTGCTTTTTTCTATTATTAAGGATGAATTTTGTAATAAAATAAATTGTTAAATAATATTTAAATAATTTCCAAAAGTATTTTTACCTAATTAAGCTTGAAAACAAGTATTATATTATGATCATTATTAGAGCTCGGATTTTCCATTTCTCAAAACCACAACTACCTCTTTGATAATATTATGTATTTATTTAACTATTTAATCAGCCATATATAAATATAATTACAGTAGTACCTCGATTATCCGGGCTAATGATGGGGAGAGGGTCACACGGATAAATGAAAATCATGGTTAATTGAGACTTTTTATAATAACGAAATTTTAAAAACTTTGATTCAATTGTAATTAGAAATATACATAAGAAGACGTATACATACAATAATGTTATACATACATCCATAATATTGTATACAACAAGTTATTAGGGCTTAAAATATGAAGTACAAATTAAATAATTTCGATGACAAAAATTGCTTAGGCGATAATAAATAACCTGACTAATTAATGTAGATTATGAAACATTTGAAATTTTCGTGAAAAAAATTTAAAAAAAAATCCATGAAGTGAATTTGATGGAAAAATTAAAAAAGCATATTTAGAGAGAAAAGTAAAAATAGGCAAAATAAAGTTTTCTAAATATTTTTATGACGATCAGAATGATATACGAATCTATAATATATGTGTATACATAAAAATTACTTTTTTATAACATTCCTCACTAATTAAGCATTAGATTTAAAATCCTAGCGATAATGTGGCTTATAAATTAACAATATAACGTGGGTACTGTTAAAGATATTAAATTAAGGAAATAGAACTAAATAATTTAGAAATAAATAGATCATCAGACTTGTTGTTTATGTAAGTAAAAATTCATTTTTTATTTTAATTAATTAATTTATTTATTATACAATTTTGCTCGTATATAAACTTTGAATTTTGAATTGTTTGGTATATAACATATATAACGTATAATACAATTGCAAATTATACCGTCAAAAAATAATGATTTTTCAGTTTAAATTTTCTGATTAATCCAAAATTTAACACTAAATAGAACTACAATGAAACCTCTGAATAGCACTCTCTCAGTCACCAAAAGTTTGTCCGTTATTCAGAGGGAATAAAGTTTTGAAATTCATAAAGCGCAAAATAAAACTAAGTTATGTTCATACTATGTATGTAATGTATGTATGTTGTATAATGTTATTATTTATTGAAAATTATTATTAATTACTAGGGAACGAATTAATATGTAATAAAAATAAAGAAATATGTACCTACATAAATATGGAAGTATAATTTATAAAATACGTGTTAAAACATCAGAGTATGTGGGAAAAAATTTAATTAAAAAAAAAATACATTAAATATATATAATTATTAAATTATCAAAATTATTTGCTACATTGAATAATTAAAATTTCTTTTAAACTATCGAATATTAAATGTCACCTATTAGATCTCAAAATATTTTTACAACAGCTAAATGCGATCATTCCACATCGACCGATGTAATTAGAACAAATTTGAAGCGCATAATATTTGAAGGTGATAATTCTAAATTTTTAGAAGCGTATTTGCCACTTATTATGTCATTGATTGTTTCAAAACTAATATTATTTGGATTTTTCTGTAACTGTTTAAATTTTTTTTCGACAATATAACGATAAATAGCTTTTTTTGTTCACTGCAACAAGGATTGAAAACGTATGAATGATTAAATAATAAAATATGTTTAAAAATATTTACAAATTAATGAAATATGTAAAAATATTTAATTATATCAATATATGTAAAAATATGCGAAACAAAAGTAGCATTTTAATAAAAATGATTTAAATCATCAACATTTCTTATCGAATCTTAAATATCTTGTTTTAATAAAAATAAGCATTTACATGTAAATCCGTTCCTTATTAATTATATATTATTATTTACATTGTATTTTTATAATTTATAATTACATATTTATTTAATAAAATAGGTACAAGTATTTTTTAAATAATTATTTTGTAAGAAAAAATCGGCGAGCTTTGTCTGTTTATAATTACATCGTCTCTGTGCAATCTCAATAGTAATATAATTTGCTAATGCCTCAGTAGAAGTGAAAATAGTACTGTTTTTTACCTCTATTGATGAAATAAAATGATATACGTTATTTACAATAAATAAAGCGTTCTGTAAACTTGTTATTTATTAGAGGAACCATCACTAAATGGCATATTTTTATCATAACACTTATGATTGTTTAACCGATAACCATGAACGTCGTAATTTTATCGTTTATTAACGAGTTTGATATCGTGATTACATTATTACGAGAGTACATACGAATGTGAATATGTATTATTTTTAAATAAAGATAAAAATTATGTCCACTATTCGGAGATAGTGAAAATGTCTTCATTCTCAAAAAGCAATTGCTATTAGGAGGTGTCCGTTAGTGGAGATTTTACTATATAGGTGGATACTCTACAAAAAAATATTAATTCAGATATTGGAAATAATTAATAAAAAAAATAGAATACTACATTTTTTTTTTTTTTTTGTATTAAATCCTATCATAATATAATACAATTATTGAAATATTATGATGAGAAATAAAAAAAAATGAAAAAAAAAAAAATTAGTCAAAACACCCAGAATTCAATATTTTTAAACAAAATTCAAAATGAACGAATTAACGGCCTCATCGTCGTTTTATTATTTCTCCTAGTTATGTTATGTGAAAGAGAATTCTATATTTTAAGACAAGCATTACAGTAGACATCAGCAATTTGAGTGAACTGATGATTTTGTGTATTTTTTTTCAGTCACTTTGCGTTTTGAAGATCTTATTGCATCGCTTCAAAATGAGTGAACTACATAGTGACTATAAGAGAAGGAGGACATCACGAAAATATAAGACGCTACGACTTAGAAAGATCCGACGCAGCCGCTTTATTAAAGTTAGTGATTTTATGGATTTCTTGCGTAATCATATAAATATATTATACAAACAAATGTATGTTCGATATACTTCCATTAGATTACGTTCACGTGGTCGACTTATTAAAAATTCTAAGCTATTTGCACTTCTTTATTTTTTCAAATAAGAAACCACTGATAATGAGCTGTTTACAAGGGCTACTTTTTCTAGGAAACATATTCATTTTTTAACAAGTTGATTAAAAAAAAAACTAAAATTAAGTACCCTTTTACATTATAATTAGTAATAATTATATTATTATTGCTTTAGTATCATAAATCTGCTTTTAGTAACGCTTTGAGAATACTGTGGGCACATAATACTTATAATATAGGACATTAGTCAAAATATAGATTGCTTTGCGTTGTTCGTTTAAATTTAAATTAAGAAATTATCTAGATAGTTATAACTTATAAGCTATTTATAAATTTATTTAATTATATATTATTATAATTATAATATTTTAGACCAGGGGTGACAAAATTATTCGAAATTTTGTGTTCTGAATTTAATTTTTAATTATGAAAAATATTTTATATATATGTATTAAAGAAATATATGCGTAAAATAATTTTTTCTCTACTGAAAATTTTCAAACAGAAATAATGCAGTTTCTAGTATTAAATATTTGATATATTTCCTATTGCAAAAAGATTTCTTTACCATTTGTAATAATAATCTATACAAGAATTTATTTAGATGAATAACCATCGCACCATTTTACGTTTAGAATATTATCTATGTTTTTAACGGATTTAAAATATTTAAATTCTTGGAAGACGTATTGAATACGTACTTATATTGTAGTCTAATTATTTTTTATTAAAAATAAAATACAATAAAGTATAGTAAATATTTTAATTTTTCGCGTACCACAGATTTGTCATCCCTGTTTTAGGATATAAAAATATCCATATTTTACTTGGTTTACTTTAGTGTAGTATTTCTACTAAAATTTAAATATTAAAATTCAGATTTTTTTTGTTATTAGTTATACAAACTAAATTTTGGCTTTGAAATTTAGATGAATTCTATCTTGCATTTATTTGAAACAACAATTTTATAATTAAAATATGCTCAGCGTGTTATATACGAGTACTAAATTAAATTAAAATAATGCACAATTTTATGTAACTTATATTATATGATGTATAGAAGTAGAGTGATTCATTTAAAGGTAAAATTCTCATTATCTTAAAATATATCAATATTTTTGGATTATTTTCTAAAACATATACAGGTTTTCGGGTTGCATATTATTTTTCTTTTCGTCACCGATATTCTGAATGACTACGGTCACTGTTATTATTATTAATATTTAATTGGAATTTTTGTGAAGTTATCCCTAAAATAAAATGATTTGTATAATTACATTAACAAACTAACCTATTAAGTATTATTTTTGATTTATTATTTTAATAATAATTAAAAAAATTAATATTTTATATAATTAAATAGCTTTTTTTGCTTCGGAAAAAGTATTAAGTAATACTTATATATTACAAACTATCCACATAGCCTTTTCTATTTCATTTTACAAAATTTAGAGCTATGACTAAAAATTTTTGTAAAAAAACATCTATACTTTTTTTAATAACGGCATTTTAATTTCATATTAAAAAGAAAAATATTTTTCTGAAAATTTCATTAGATTTAATTTGTGGTGTATCTTTTTATCACTATTAAACTTATACGAAAAATAAATTTTCTAAGACTTCAATAATTTTCATAAAAATGAGTGTTTACCTTTAAAAAATTTAAGAACTAAACTACTTTTGTATATTATATCTTATAATATCTCAGAACCGTTATAATTTCGAAATTTGTATAACATAATATATGTAATCAGTTCTTTATTGATGTAATTGTTTTATTGTTGTATTGATATATTGTCAAAATAAACAAATCTATTTAATACGATTTAAATGTGTAATCAACAGTTTTCAAACTTTATTTGGCTTTATACCTATTAAATTTGAATTTATCTAAATATCATATGGTTTTCGCAAGTATAAAGGTTATCATTTTATAATGATATATTAATATGTGTTTTTTTGGAAGGGAGAAGGAACTATCATAACTTTTTTGAGCTGTTAATATTCGATTTTGAGAATGGTTTCTGGTAGAAAATTTGATCTATTTGATACTTAAAGAAAGGTGAATAAAAGAAAACATTTCCCAGTACGTTTAAAAAGAATTGGGTGAAAAAAGTAAAATAAGTGTAATAAAATTTATGTTGTTAGTAAAATATTCGAATAACCCATTAATTTGTGATCAAACTAAAAGTTAAGAATATTATATTATGTGTTTTCTTTGTGTTTATACAACAATTTAATTAGTATGAGAGTTATAGGAATTTTTAGAACTAAAATATGTAAATCTATACTACTATTTAAAATTGTAAAGAGTTTTTTACGACCGCACTAACTGAGAAAACTATTCAACCGATTTGGCTGAAATTGTTGAATGTTATACTTGATTGTCTGTTGAAGGTTTTATTACCACTTTTGTTATTAAAAAATAAAATAAATCAAGAAAAATGGAAATTTTCACACATATTTAATATTATTATTAAAATAATTGTTTTGTAACCATGATTACCATTAAAACACTTATGTTATGAGAATTAATGTTATAATTATAGGGAATGAAATTTTAAAAATATCTAAATTAATTTAAAGATATTATCTATCTATTTATACCATGCATTTATTCACACTATTTTATGGTAATATTTAATCAATTAAAAAGTTATTAATAAAGTTCTCGAAAAATTAAAAAACTAAGCTAATTTTTGGGGCCTCTATGTGAGATTTGCAAGAACAGGTCTTTTTTATGTTCTCATTTTGTGACAACACTATTTATCTATTTCCATTTTTTTTCACAGAGTTATTCTAAATACCCTTTTGAATGTTATCACGTCACCTAATTTTTAATTTTTTTGTTTGGAAAGGTAGGTGTGGGGCGTTTTGTATTTAAATGTTCCAATTTTCTGACGACACTATTTAGCATTTTTCCATTTTTTTTTTTCAAAAGGTCATACCAAATACTTAATACCGTTTAAAATATTTCAATACGTTTTCATTAACCGTTTTTTATACTAACTTTCGGATCACATTATTAAATGATAAAATTTGAATAAAATATTTTATTTATCAATATATCATCGTCCGAAGGCAAAATAAACAACCATTCACGGGCGAATAGTATATTATAATGTGTTTAAAATATTAATTGTAACTTGCTTGAAAATTAAAATATGATAAAAAAATACTAACACATGTTTTCGCCTTTAAGTTAGATGACGAGTCAATTGAATAAAATATTTTTATTTACTATGTTAAACAAAAATTGGTTCTGCTGAATTTAATATGTCTTACATTTGAAAGACGGTGGCGTTATATATGGGCGCCGCGTCCTTTTAAAATTTTCAGCATTTATCAGGGAGTTAAAAATACTTGGGTCATTTTTTTTTTAATTTTTGAGTTTTTAACCAAGTTTTTTTCCGATTTCAATTTCGATAACCGGTTTTCATTTTTTCAATTGCAGTATTAATTTAAAATATCGATATTTTGTTTTCCATCATTAATATTGGTTTATTTTATTTCTGTTTTTATTTTATTTTTATTTTTAATGGTCTCAACTAGTATTCAAAATCGGTATTAATATATAGGATTCAAACTTAAAATAAAAAAGATTAAAAAAAATTAAGTTTATTTTTAATTTATGTATTGTAACGTGGCTGGGGAACCTAGTTACTATATTAGTTATCCAGGGAAGGTTTTCTGGTCCTTATGGATAAATTTTCCGTAGCTAGGGGGTTAGAACACGGTATGTGGGATCTTATCAATAAATAAAACACGTTTGGTTTATAAATCTCTGTTCAAAATATATTTTTGGTTTGTACTTAACAAAATGTAGATGGTGGTAAACAATCCCGGTGTTGGTGAGTTCATGTTTTTTGGTGAGTTCGTGTTTATTGCTGGTCAGTCTCGAACTGCCCTTTCGATAAACGGTGCGTATTGGCCACAGGCCTCACAATCATTAACAATGTTTATCTCAGCATAAATATCCCACTATTGCCTACTACGGAATTGACACATACATAGGTGTCATGTAACAATAATATATATTATTGTTACAGTATGATAAAATGTTTTTGTGGATAATTTTATTTAAAGTTTTTCATGTAGTTTTCTTATTGTGATTAAAAAAAAAGCTTAGGTGTATATGATCATGGTTATTATTTATTTTGACAAAAAATAATTATTTAACAATTTTGATGTAATTAAAAAAATGTTCTTAGAGATTTGAAACTTTTTGCTACTATATTATGACTTATGAGTATGTAGTATGTACCTATATTGTTTTAGTATTATTAATTATACTAAATTACATTTAATATGTTTTTCCTAATTTTAAATTATTATACCAAGGGTTACCTAGTTACGCTGCTCTATGGTTTTAAGTTATAACTACTAATAATATTATATGAAATAATATAATATTTATTTTTTTTTTTAGTAATTCTAATATGTATAAACAGAAATCAATTTAATTAACTGAATGTAAATATAAAAATAAATTTCGAATTGGTATTTCTAATATATATTTATAGCTAACCCTTAGAAATATAAGCAAACATACTATCTCCTCAAATTTAACTCGCCCATTATAGTGGACTTTTTGATGAGTAAATATTCTCAACATTAATATACAGTAGGGATTTTTTTTAGGCTTTTGTCTAGTTAAACGGAGTGTTTGTTTACTTATGTACATATGTAATAAATAGTAAAAATATTTTGGAAAATTATAAGCAAAAAAAAAATTAAATCGTATTATTTAATAACTAGTTTTGCGTAAATATTTTCGTTTTTTGTTTTGATTTTTCCCAACAAGTAACAAATAGTTTTAATTTTAAATCAGAAACCACACTTAAAGTTTAAGATCATAGTATTATTTTATCTGCCAAAAATATGTCCAAAAACACATATAGTTGTTAAGTTAATATTATATTCATCGCTCCGCTTAGAATCTAATGACTAATAATGACTTAGTTATTATTAATATTCAAAAATGTTAAATAGTAGAAACTTGAAAATGTTCACAATTTTCTGTATTATTTTG